CCGGCATGTGGTGCTGGGGGATTGAACCGCGGTCCCTGATGCCTTGCCAAGCTTGTTCTAAGTAGGTGCTTTAGACCACTGAGCCATCTCTCCAGCCCTACCCAATGCTTTGTAACTTAAGTCCATCTGATGCAACTAAACTTACTCAGCTGAGTACCATGTAATTATGCTAAGCTTTTGTGGAAACCACCGTGAAATTCATTAGCACTCAACACCTCGAGCTCACTGGCCCTGGGCAGATGCCCTAGCATGTTCTTAAGGCCTGGGAAGGAGACAGACCCTGAACCAGGGCACTCAGATGGCCCAGGATGGGTGGCGTGCAGACTGCCAGCTGCCTGATTCATCCAGGAGTTCCTCATTGGTGCCATTCACTATGCTCACCTGGACAATGCCGATGGATGAGGCGTCGATGGTGGTCGTCTCAGGGAGGTGGTCCAGGTCATCAATCCTCACAGCAAGCACCTGTACAAGCAGTGGGGCAGTGAGAGGACAGGGACCTGCACTGGCACTGGCACTCCCACAGAGGTACGCATGCTGTGGGCGACCCCTCTGCTCAGGGTGGGTAGTACAGGCACCCAAGCACCCCACCTCTCCACCCCACACTCTGGCTTCCAGTTTTCCAATCCCTGTAGTGCACCTGTTTGTGGTGAGGAGCATCCTTCTCTGCCATCCCAGCCCCTGTGGCCTGGACAGGTAACTCAGGCTGGGTAATGAGACCAGCAGAGCACCCTGTGCTGCAGCGACTGCCTTGCCCACCCTAGCTATGCGGGCCACACACAGCTGCTGAGTTGCTTGGCTCTGTGCCCCTGCCTTCCCTCCAGTGCCACAGAATTATCCCTGGCATGTGACACTCATCTTGTGACTGTTGTCTCCTGCTAGGTCAGGGTCCTGCCTGAGAGCCACTCACATGCCCACTCCCCTTTGTACATGTTCCAGGTACAACTTCATCCACCCAAGGTACAGGATTATGGAGAGTGGCCGGGGAGGGGACTCACCATAGGACAACCAGGCAAGCCCAAGGAATTATGAACATCTGTCTTCAGGGTCCCTCACTTCAGCAGCTACGCATATGTAGCCCAGGCTGGAGCTTAGCTCCTTTGGCCTCAGCCTCCCAAGTGCTGGGATCACAGGCATGTGCCACCACAACTAATTTTTGCTCAGTTAACAAAAGTGAAATGGAAAGCTAGTGTACTGTGTGGCCTGGGGTGAGGCATATGAACGACAATAGCAACTGCTGCTAGGGATTTATACTTGGCCTGCCTTGAGCACATTAAGTCCAAGACAGAAGCCATGGGGGTTCCGGGGAGCTCTGCTCCACTGCACACGGCTCCTTGTGGCCTCTCCCAAGCAGCTGAGTCAGTAACACTAGCAGTGCACTCATCTGGGACACAGTAAAGGAGACACCTGTTTTCATCTGCTCTGCTTGCTTTCGTGACCCACAGAGTGACTTCTGGCAGATCTGGCACCTTGTGCTCATGGCTCCTTTGCCCCCTGCACACTCAGAAAGCCTCTCCTTTTTTCAAAGCACATTTCGTCAGCGACGTGCTTGAGTTTTGTAATTTTTTGCAGCATTGTGGATTGAACCCAGGGCCTGCACATGAGCAATACCCCGCCCCCAGCCCTTTGTCTTATCTTGACGCTAAGTGACTAAGTTGCCAGACTGGGCTAGAACTCATGAGCCTCCTGCCTCAGCCTCTCCACACGTCTTGGCTCAGGGCTCGGGTATGCAGGGGAGCAGGATGTCAGAGTCCCCCAAGTCCGGCTCACCTCAGGGTGCTTGCGCCGCATGTGCCGGCTCATGGAGGCGCGTGTGGAAACCTTGGTCCCGCACAGCTGACAGCTCTGTGCCTCCACTTTGTCATGCGTAAGCTGCACGTGCTTTTGCAGCATGTACTCTGTCACGTACTTCTTGTCGCATACAGAACACGTCCACTGCTTCCCCACTGCAGGGCCCAAGCAGCAGAAGGACAGACGGGGTCACCATGGGGTACCTGCCTCAGACCCCACCTTTGAGTCCGCTCCACTCATCAGGGACAGCTGTCTACCAGGTGAGGCCTAGCCCAGGATGAGCCACAAGCAGCCTCCAGCCTTAGGCCAGCACTGTCACCTGGCGCTGGAGGTCTGCAGCCTTGTTCCCACATGCACCCTACCTGTGTGGATGAGCTTGTGCGTCTCCATCGTGTTCCTCTCACTGAAAGTCTTCCCACACAGCTCACACATGAAATCCTTAATCCCTGCCAGGAAAGACCACTGAGTCGCACAAGCTCTTTTAATTTTTTTCCTTTCTTTAAAATAATATTTGTCTTTGAGACATTGAGACAGGGTCTCACTCTGTAGCTTAGGCCTTGAACTCACTGTGTAGCCAAAACTACCTTGAACTCGCTGAGACTCTCCTGTGTCAGCTTCCCAAGTGCTGGGTCCACAAGCATATGCCACCATACCCGGCATGACTTTTAATTTCACTGCACAGAAAAGGTGCATTATGCTGGACAGCCCCGAGGCGAAAACAACTGGCCAGAAGATGATATATAACACTGGTACCTCCCCAGCCCAACCAGAAAGCTGACTTGGAAAACTGACTGCGCTGCAGGTTGCTTCTGTTTGAGAGTGAGGTGTGAGAAGGCTGAGGATGATGTGAGGGGAGCCCAGGACGATGTCTGGGAGTGTTCGTTTGTCTATGCCCCATACAGTCCTGATGAAAGACCTCAGGTAGGTGTTAAGAAACGAAGGAATGAAGACCAGGACCCAACATGGGGTGGCAGGGGACAGCAGCGCCCCAGCCACGCTGCATGCCTCTGCCTATGACTCAGTCTCTATCAGCACAGCAAGGTCACAAGCCAAAGTCAGGCTTTGCCGGGGACACAGGGCTGGCTCCGCACATGCGACCCGCTTGGCACATATCACCACTGCTGAGGGAGGGCGGGGTGGGAGTCAGCATCTCCACCCACACGGGCACAGCACTTGGGAAACCTGAGGCGAAACTGCAGGCCGACTCTTCAACGTGACAAGGGCTGAGGCATGCGGAGCTAGGGCTCAGGGTTTCCTCCAAGAGCTGGGACAGCACAAGGGTGCTCACTTCTGCTGCTCCTCTCAGTGCTGGAGTCAGGGGTGGAGGGGCTAGGGGTATGAGGAGAAGTAAGAGGATGCCATGTGACCCCTGTTTCTAGGCTCAAAAAAACCCAGGGATCCCATCAGTGCACTGTAACAACTGAGGAATTCAGGAAAGTTGCAGGATATGAAATCAACATACAAAATAACTATAAAATTAGCATCACAGGGCACACTTGTAATCCTTGCACTGTGGGAGGCTGAGGCAGGAGGATGGCAAGGTCAGGGTCCCCGTGGGTAGCCAAATGACTGAGCAAGATTAAAAGAAAAAAGCTTGCTGAGAGAGAAAGCATGAAAATGATCCTATCTGTAATATATTTAAAAAAATTAAACCAAATACCGAGGAATAAATTTAACCACAGAGCAGAGATTTGTACAATGAAAATGACATCAAAATGCTGATGCAAGAATCTGGAGAAGACAATGACAAATAGGAAGATGACCCAGGCCCATGGGCTGGGAGAAGCAACGTGGCTAAAGGTCTGCACTACCTAAGGCAGCTCACAGATTCAGTGTGACCCCACCTCAATGAACCAGTGATACCGCTCTCCACAGAAGCAGAAAAGCAATCCCAGAATTCATTTGATGGCATAAAGACACACAAGAGGCCGAGCAATCTTGGCTGAAGAACAAAGAGGGAGGCCAAATCCTGCCTGATTTTAACGTGTATTAGGGTGGAAAAACCAGCACAACCCAGGAGCACACAGACCCAGGCACAGAATGTAGATCCCAGAAACAAAAGACACATCCCAAGCCACGGGAACAGGGCAGGGACCCAGCCATACAGGGGAAGGCTGGACCCTCACCAGGCTGAACTGCACCAGCCTCTTACGCTGGCCAACGTCAGCTCAGAATGGGTCGAGGACCTCCGATCTGAGGCCCTGGAGCAGCAGCCAGCCTGGCAAAGGCCCTAGCGATGCGGACACAAGCAATCACCTTCTAGACGAGACCCAAAAACACAGCCCAGTGCAGAAGCCTCAGCAGCGCAAAGGAAAACACCTGAGCAAAGACGCAGTTCCCCCCGCGCCACACAGCAGACTCACAGGCACTGTATGCAGGGGTTGAAACAAGCAAAAAAAAGCCCAGGCCCAGGGATGTAGTTCAGCGGCACAGTGCCTGCCTAGCAAGCACAAGGCCAAGAGTTCAACTCCCGGCACCACAAACAAAAAGCAAGGGACCCAGCAGAAGCGGGCCAAGGGCGTGAACAGACAGAAGACGCAGGATGCCCACCCCAGGAGCTGCAGGTCGCAGCGCGAGCAGAGCCCGGCGGGCCGCTCACCCGTGTGCCGCTTGTAGTGTTTGAGCATGTTGACCTTCTGCGCGAACTTGCGGTGGCACTCCTTGCACTCGTACTCCTTGATGCCCTTGTGCAGCTTCATGTGGTGGCGCAGCGCATGTTTTGTCTTCATGCCTGGGGATGGAAGGGGTTGCTGCCCGGATCCCAGGACCACGAGCCATGCCGAGATGGGGGCCGCTAGAGTGGCGGGCGGGGCAGGGGAGGGATGGAGCACTGGGGCCCTCCTGCCTGCTCACACAACGGCCCAGTCTAATGACTGGGGGACACGGCAGGTAGACTCAGGTTTCTGCCCCTCGGGTGACAAACACCAGTCACAGTGAGGACCCCAGCGATTTGTGGCTTCAGTACTGATGTCTGGTCAGCTATAACTTAATGTTGTTTATCTTTTTTGCTTGCTTGAGAGAGGCTTGTACTATGTAACTCAGGCTAGCCTCAAAGTTGCCTTGGGATTCTCCTGCCTCAGCCTCCTGAGTGCTGGGATGACAGGCATGTGCCACCACGCCTGACTAAGGCTGCCCATCTCAAGGAGCTGAAATAGGCCAGAGCCTCCGGGACTGAGGTGACAAGGAGCTGTCCCTATGCAGGGCCTGAGTTGGGAAGTGAAGGGTTACACAACCTTGGATAGAACTGAGGAGCAGACAGGACTCACAAACCCAGGATGACAGTCCTGTTCCAACCTTTGACCTCTGAGGCCCCGGCAGAAGGCAAAGGAGGGGTTGGTGCCACCTCTCCCTGAGAGCAGTCAGCAGGAGGGGGCGGAGCCTGCTGCAACACCCTGGAAAAGGAGGTCTCAGTAGGAGTCCCACAATTGTGAAAGGTGAAGCCCAGGACCTGAGGTGAAACTTCCTCACAAAGCCAGAAGAGGGAGCCCGACACCCACAGAAGTGCAGAGAGACACAGCCCACTGTGGGCAGCTGTTGTGTCTTCTACAAAACTTTTCAAGCTGTGTGCTGTGGTGTACACCTGCAGTCTCAGCTCACTGGGAGGCTAAGGCAGGAGGGCCCTCAGTACCACATGAGTTTGAGGCCCGGCTAAGCAACTTAGTCACTTAAAGAGACCTTGTCTCAAAGTAAAAAAATAAAAAAGGGTTGAGGATGTAGCTCCGGGCAGAGGGCTTGGGCTCAATTTCCAGGATCACAAAAAAAAAGGGGTGCAGGGGCCGGGGAGATAGCTCAGTGGAATAAGCACTTCCCTGGCAAGTGTAAGGGCCTGAGTTCAATTCCTGGTTCCACCAAAAAAAAAAAAAAAAAGAGTGCAAAAATCTTCTGATTTGGGAAACACACACCATCTCACCTGGGGACAGAAAAGACACGGACTCTCTGGGTCCCCAGCAGCACATGCTGTCCTGTTCCCAAGCTCTAGCTCCCAGGACCCCCCTCTGCCCAGCCCCTGGGCACCGCTGGGATGGTGTCTAAGGGATGTCATCCTCAGGGACTGTCCTCCTGGTTCTTCTGCAAGGGACATCAATGTGATCAGTGTAGAGCCCACACCCATAGTTTTCACAGTTCCTGGCCATCCCTGGTTTTCATTGGTTCATTCAACAAATACTTGGGCTCTGTCTACATGCCGGGGCCTGAGCCCCACAGGTCTTCCTTCAAGGTGAGGATATAGTAAAGAGGCTGGGCGCAGGCCCAGGCCCAGGCAGGGGTGATGGGCAGGCGGGGCTGTCAGGAACCCTGGCTCATCAGAGCTCGTGTTGGGATCCCTTCCCACAAGAACCTGATCTGGCAGGGGAGAGGTAAGATTCAGGGCAGCTTGGGAACTGGAATTCCTAGCAGAGGGAACACAGGCAGAGGTCCTGAGGCCATGGCACCAGTGTGCGTGCAACCCACCATTTGGCGTCTAAGGCTACCTAACACAAAAAGGCTGCCAGGTCACACCAGGCCAGCCATCACACCGCAAGGACGGGATAAGCACACCTTACCAAGGATGCTTGCAGCTGGAAGTATTTCAGATTTTGGAGTTTTTCAAATTTTGGAATATTTGCCCAGACTTGACTGGCTAAGCATCCTCTAAAGTGAAAAATCTGAAATGCAAATTGCTTCAAAATCAGAAAATTCTGGAACTTTAGTCTAGGGCTCAAAGTTTCTGATTTTGGAGAATTTCTGATTTTGAATTTATAAATTAGGAGTGCTCCACATGCAACCAGCTCCATCCAACTTGTGGGGGCTTTGTCGCTGCCTCTCTAGCTGTCGGCTCTGGCCCTCCAGAGAGCAGGCCTGTCCCTTCCCGACACAAGCAGCCCGGGTTTGCAATCCACGGCTGCTTCACTGACCTACATCCCAGGGCTTCTTTAAAACTCTGAGACCAAGTCTCACCAAGTGTCTCAGGCTGGGCTCAAACTTGTGATTCTCTTGCCTCAGTCTCCCAGACTGCTAGGACTACAGGCGTGTACCACCGCAGCCGGCCCTTTTCTTTTCATTTTTCAAAAAAGTCCTGTGAGCAGTTTCAAAATAAATACAATGGCCACAGGGTACCAAAGGTAAGGCTCATCGCACCAGGTCTGGGGTTTATTTAGTGTGTGCCCCATTTATAAGCTACTTGGGAAGTGATATTTTGTTTGTTTTTTATATTTATCATGATGTTATTAGCTTTGTTTACTTTGGGATTGCATTCGATAAGTTTTGTTCAGGATTTTCACATCTCTTATTCACAGATAACATGGGCTAGTCATTTTTCTTCCTATATTTCCCTTGCCTGATTTTAGTACTGGGTGAACTTAGCCTCGCTCTTTTTCTTTTTTATTTATTTATTTTAATATATTTGGTGCAGGGTCTCACTACGCAGCTCGGATTCGTAGTGATCCTCCTATTTTCCGCCTCCCCAGCTCTGGGATTACAGGCATGTGCCACCACCCCTGGTCTCGGTGGCTGGCTCAGCACGTCTGTTCAGGGCCAGTGCAGCACGTGGTGCTGAGGATCAAAACCTGTCCCTGTGCTTGCCTAAGCAGGTGCTTAGTCCGCTGAGCTATTTCGCCAGCCCAGCCTCACTTGTTTCTGGAAGATTTTGTATCAAACTTGAAAACTATCACTTGAAAGTTTGGTAGATTCTCCCTTAAAAAGTTGGCCTGTTTTCTTTGTGGGATTTTAACCCAGATTTAACTCCTTTGATAATTCTGAGGCTATTCTTACTTGGAGAAGTTATATTTTCCTAGGAACTGCCAGGGATCAAATGCAAAAGAACAGCTGTAGGAAACAGGATCTTACAGATTGTTAAATGCCCAGAAAAGTGTATGCCTCAAATCTGAAAGTGCCATTCTTTAATGCTAAAATCCCCCACCCAGGAGAGGACGTGCCTCCTAGCCCTCTGAACACCTGGCTTTCCTCTTGCTTGCTGAGCAACTGTCTCGCAGATTATTCCTGGGCGCCTGGCTCACATTTTAGGACATTCACTTTTTGGGGGGTGCAGCTTGGTCAGTGACAGCTCTGCTGCCCTTGGCCAGAGCCACGCCGCCCTCCAGAGAGCCCGAGGGAATCACTGCCACAGCGCTTCCTTTTCACCTTCGCATGTATGGGTTTCTCTCTTTCTTTCTTTTTCTTTCTTGGCTGGCCTTGAACTCACTAAGTAACCCAGGCTGGCCTCAACCTCACAGCAATTGTCCCACCTCAGCCTCCCAAGTGCTGGGATCACAGATGCGCGCCTCTATGCCTGGCTCCCGTACTATGCTGGCAGGAGCTAACAGGGGCTGTCTGCTGGCTGGGATACAGCCGCTGAGTTTTCTCCATACTTTTCTCCATTTGTAAAAATCAAATGAAAGAAAAAATAAAATTACTTATAGAGTATAAAACTTCAAAGAGCCTAATGGGAGAGCAGAGAAGCATCTGTCTCCGTGATGAAGGGGATGGCTCTGCCTTAGCCTTGACAGAGGAAATGGGGTTGTGAGGAGTGCGGGAACCTGCTGCCCAGAGGCTTTAGGAGGTTTCCCAGACAAGCATACAAGCCAGGCTTAGTGGCGCATGGCTGTAATTCCAGCACTTGGGAGGCTGAGGCAGGAGGATCATAAGTTCCAGTCCGGCCTGGGCAGCGTAGTGACTTCGTGAGACTTTGTGTCTCAAAACAAAGTAAAAGGGAGCTGGAGCTGGGGCTCAGGGCAAAGTCACAGTGTTCAGTCCCCAGTGCTGCAAGAAAGGAAGCGCAAAGTAAAGGGGGTGTGACAGGAATGGCTTAACACTTTAGCTTGCACAGGGAGCATCTCATCAACTGCGGGGCAATTTTACCTCAAATTTATCACCTTTTGAGCAACCACAGGGCCTATTGTTTCCCCACTTTTCAAATGATCTATCTGTGCCCTTAACACCACGGTCCCTGCTTGGGACTCAAACCCAGCCCTGCTGTGGCCCTATCCAGCCATGGTGACGTCCCCACCTTTGCCGCACTCCGCACACAGGTACTCGCGGATGTTGTCGTGCACGCGCATGTGCTCCTTGAGCATGTCCTTGCGGGCGAAGGACTTCCCACACTGCTCACACGCGTGGCTCTTCACACCTGCAGGGGCCAAGGCAGAGACACATGCTGGCGCTGCACGGTCGGCAGGGAAGTGCCCCCCCCCCACTGTCCTCCCTGCCCCTGGGACATCCTGGGCTCATAGGAGAGGGTCCCCATGGGCCTAGAAGACATGGGTTGGAAAGCAGGGGGAAGTGGGCGCTGGTGGAGGCCAGGGTACTGGCCACACCCAGAGCCAGAAGCCGGGACACACACCAGTATGGATGAGCTTGTGGCGCTCCAGGTTCCCAATGCTGTTGAAGATGCGGCCGCAGATCTCACAGGGGTGGATATACCTGCGAGCATACATCTGCTCAGGGCAGCCCAGGCTGCAGTGCAGTCCACCGCCACTGCCACCTTGAGGGCCCTGTCCCAAGTGCCCAGGAGATGGGACCAAGGGGTCCACGATCAACAAAAAACACAAGAAGCCTGGCTTCCTTCACAGAAAGAGCTGGGTCCCCCAAGATTCAGTCCTAACCCACATGCTCGAATACAGCCACAGATGGACACAGAGATTGGGAAGAGGCGAAGCAGGTGGGATGAGACCACCAGGCTGGGTCTGGAGCCACCCTGCTGTGCCCTCACTGGAAGGAAGACTGGACACAGACTCAGGAAAGACTGTCTGTGAGCTGAGGACAGAGCCCTTGGGAGGGAGGGACCGGTCCCCGACACCTGGATCTGGGGCCTTAGGTAGGGAGGGATTACACTACTGCTGTTAGAGCACTGAGCCTGGTGCTTGGTCACAGCTGCCCAGGGACAGCAGGCCTATGTGCATGGCAGGGCGGCATAGGCCTGGCAGGGTGGGAGGCTGGGTTCCTGTCCTGCCTTCCTCAGGTGGCCATGATGGCCCTGGCTCAAGGGCAGGTGAAAAGCTGTGGCACTGCTCTAGATGGTGCCCAGTTACCCCACAAGCCCCCAAGGCCACCCAGCTCACTTCTGCACGTTAGGGTCCGGCAGATTCTCACGGTGGATAACCATGTGTGCATGGTAGGTGGCCTTGAGGGCGAAGCGGCGATGGCAGATGCTGCAGCCATACCCCTTCTCCTTGTGCACCTCCATGATGTGCTTCAGGTACTCCTTGCCACGGCCAAAGGTGAGCTGAGGATGCAGGCACTGCTCACAACTGCTGCCCCAGAACCTGGCACTCATGTGGTGAGGGCTGCCCCCCAGCAAGGCCCTTCTGCGTGGGCTCTGGTGGAGCAGAGGGGCAGGTGGCCCTCCAACATGGCCAACCACAGGAGACAGTCCCTACTGCACACAGCATTGCCTGTGTGCCCACACAGATGAGGTGTAGGGGACGCGGATGGCTCCATGTATGGTGGGGGGCCTCCACTGGCACAAAGGTGCTGTGTTGGTGCCCTAGTTGGCAGCCAAGAGCTTCCTTCCCCATCCTGGGGGCAGGACAGGAGGCCTCCTACCTGACACCTCTTACAGCTGTACTTATGGGGCTCTGAGTCTGCGCTCTCATCCGAGTTGTCCTCGTTTTCCTCTGACGAGATCCCGATCTTGCCGATGAACTCCTCACGCTGGTGGTCATCCATCAGTGCGATGTCCTGTGGGATGTCACAGCCTGGCTCCAGCGTGGCCCTCTGCTCCCCAGGGCCCAGCTCAGGGGCGGAAGCCAACACTGCCCCAGGGCCCACATGCACACTGCCACACCTTGAAGTGCACGTGAATGTGATCCCTGAGCACATCCACGCGGAAGAACTTGCGTCCGCAGATCTCACAGGTGTACTTCTTGTCGCCATGGGTGAGCAGGTGCTTGTTCATGTTGCTCCGACAAGAGAACACCTGGGTCAGAGACACCCCATGAGGGCTGCCCAGAGCCCATAGAGAAACTCAAGGCACCTGCTTAGGTCCCAATGTCAAAGCACTGCCTCCCAGTCTGTTGAGAACAGGAGCTGGCAGAGACTCTAGCTCTTGGAAATATATTTTGTTTTTTGCAGTACTGGGGATTGAACCCAGGGCTCTGCATTGAGCTACATCCCCAGCCCTTTTGTATTCTGAGGTAAGTCTCACTAAGCTAGTTGAACGGGCTGGGCTCAAACTTGGGATCTTCCTACCTCGGGCTCTTGGAGCTCTGGGATCCCAGGCATGCACCCCACATCCAACTTCATTTAAACCTTTCACTAGCATGGAGCCAACCAAGCAGTCCAGCATCACAGAGATGCCTGTGATTTTTGAAAGCCGACACCAGAGAAGGTTGCCCTGCACTGTGTGCTGCACTCTGGGCACCTCACACTGCACCCCTCCTGGTCTGGAATTTCTGGACTGGAGAGGGTGGTTGACCCCAGCTCTGGCTGCTGTGCGGTTTTCCAAAGGAGTCAGAAAGTTTCATGTAAAGGGGAAGAGTCCACAGGTGCTGGAGGAAAGGGCAGTGGATGGGACATCCACAGCTGCCAGCCCATGGGGGTGCACAGCACCCACCAGTGTGCTGGGGCGACCACTCGTGCGGGGTGCACACTGTCCACCTCAGAGGGGACAAGACCCTGCAGGATCCCAGAGCCTGAGCACTGTGGCCTGGAGGCTGCCAAAGAAAGACCACTTTCCCCTGCTCACTCCCAGGCAGCCCACCTTCCCCCATGCAGAGCCCTGAAGGATGGGGCAGCCGTGGCTGGGCCCCTCAGTTTGGGATGATTAGTGCTGGCGGCTCCTCTCCCACTCCCCATGCTGCTCTGTGCTGAAGCTCTGAGTTTTAACTCAGGAAAAGGACATGCTTTCCACCCAGCTCCCAGCACACTGGAGACTGCTCATAGGGCATTACCTTTCCACACACCGGGCACCCTGAGGGCTCCTTCTTGTATCGAACCAGGCTCTCGTTGCTGGTCTCTAAGTCCTCTCTCTTCACCCGCCGCACACCTGGAATCCCAGCCCCAGAAGACAGTGAGCACAAGGCCAGCAGTCAGATGGCCCGAGGCAGGGCTGCCCAAGAAGCTTGGGACAGGCGGTAGCCCTCAGCACATGGGCTCTGCAGTGACTGCACCTTGCACAAAGGAGGGGGTTGCACAGGGCTGGTGGGCTCCAGCACACACGCAGGCACCCAGGGCCTCAGTTTGGAAGAGTGACATGGAGCTTCAACTGGACAGGGAGTTGGATTAATCCCAGAGCTCACTGCCAAGTATGCCATACCTTTAATGGCTACTTGCATGCATTTCATGAATAAAACAAAACAAAACAAAAAACCCATTTCCATTCATGTATTGGAAGCTAAACCTGTCCAGGGAGGATCATGATAAAAGCTCAGATGGTCACAAAATCTTTGGGTTTGGAGGGATTTTGCTGAGGCATAGGATAAAAACTGACATTGGCCTTTAAAAGGCTCCTATTGGCTGGGCACAGTGATCCATGCCAAGCTGCAGTGTTCAGGAGGAGGCAGGAGCACTGCTCAAGGCTGGGCCCAGGGGAGCAGCCAGACCCTGGGATGTGACGAAGCTCTGGCCAACCTTAGAGAATCAGTGCTCGGTCTGGGCACTGAGGTCCAAGTGCCAAGGTCACTGTGTGCTGCGGACACAGCCTGCCTGTGGACATTACCTCAGGTGCGAGGCTGCCCAAAAGACATCCCGAGGGAAAGCACTATGAGTCATGTGGAAAGGACCTAAGTAAGAAAGCAAGGTGTGATGCCTGTGTACATGCATGTGTAAGGATGCGGGCATATGCATGTGTGGGTCTGTGCACGTGGGGGCACATGTATGTGGTGTGTGTGCATACACACATGTGAATACTTGTATAACTCCATGCTCGTGTACAAGCATGGGTATGGATACAGTTAAATTATGTATGACTTCGTTACCTTTCATTTTTTCCTTTTTGTTTTGTTCTATTTTGTTAGTTTGTTTTGTTTTTGAAACAGGGTTTTGCTATGGAACCCAGGCTGGCCTCAAACTCAAGGTGATCCTCCTGCCTCAGCATCCAGAATGCTGGGCCTAGAGGTATGGGACACCATGCCTGGCTTTCACTTTCCTCTTAATAAGCTCAAGCTCATTCTCTGTGAATTGTTCTAAGTGTTACCAAAGGTATTTTAGCCCCGCAGCCACCACAAAGGACAGCAGTTCCTGGAAGAAAGTTCAGGATACTAAGGAGGCCAAAACACTGCCCCAGAATCCCTCAGGGCCCTATACCCTGAATCCTCTCCACCATCCACATGGAACTGTGCAGATCTCCCTGCCTGAGCCTCTTCCTGGCAGGGGCTTTGTACAGCTCTGTATCTGCCCATGGGGGGTGGGGGGACACTCTGGCCATCTCCTGTGTGTCTCCAGCCTGGCTGCACAGAGCCTATGTCAAGAACCCTGGTGACAGCACTCCCTCTGGCCCCAGGAGCACAGAGCATGTGCAGAGAGGGTCTGGCCGGTAACCCCACACAGTAGCATCTGCAGGACACTGTCCCCTACATTGGGCAGAAAGCTGACCACATGTGTGATTTTATACTCAGCCTCCCTACTTTGTGCTGTACAAAAGGATTTTTTTTCCATAATTTTTGTTTATGAGACAGGGACTTGCTATGTAGTGCAGGCTGGCTTGAACTTACAGTGATCGGATCTCCTGCCTCAGCCTCTTATGTGCTAGGACAGCAGATGTGTACTCTACTTGGCATTTTTGTACAATATTAAAAGCCCCTCAGAAGAAATTCATGAAAGGGTAACATTTGCTCCTACAAAAGCTGGTGTCCTGAACTCATCCTGCTGTTTCCACCCACCTCTATCCCACCTCCCACTCAGTCCCTGCTCTGCCATGCCCCAATCCCTGAGTAAGCAGGGGCTCACCCTCCAGGTGGCGCCGCTGGTGGTCCAGCATGACATCCTTGCGGTAGAACATCTTGCTGCAGACCCCGCAGGCGAACTTCTTGTCCCCATGCTTCTTTTTGTGCTTGGAGAGGTTGCTGTTGGTGGAGAAGAATCTGAAACACATCTCACATTGGAACGTCTTGTCATCTGTCCAGGGAGCAAACAGACACACAGGGCCATCAGTCACCAGCCTCGACTGCCAGCCCTCCCCCCTACCCCTTGATGCTCCTGGGCTCAGCAGAAACGGGCACTGGGCCTGGAACCTGACCCCACTGGCCTGCAGTGTATCCCCTCCATGTGGGGCTGCTGCCCAACCCTGTCCTGTCCCACAGCTCCTCGCATCACATCATGTGTGTCAGCCCAGTTGGTGCTACATGCCTGCAAATCCCTCTCATGGGATGCCAACAGAGAACCACTGTGATTTCAAGGCAACCTGAGTGACACAGTGAAACCCCATCCCCAAAGCCGACAGAGCAACCCAGAACCTGTGTGTTCCTAGTATCCCATTACTAACATACACTCAGTACCTACCCATGAAATACAACACACTCCACACACATAAGGCCTGGGCCCCAGCCTCAGGAAGCCTGTGCCTGGTGTACAGACCCCCACATAGGGCTGGTGGATAGCGCTGCCCAGCTGTGTCCTCCCTGCTGGCTCATCTCCCCTCCAGTCCCTGGCAAGTGGGGCAGGGCCCAGCCTCCCCCACCAGATGCCCACAGTGTGGCCCGGCCCCAGCCAGCTGTGACACCTAGCATCTCCAGACACTGCCAGCATCACGCAACATCCGTATGAGACAGGACCTGAGGTGAGCAAGGCCTCGGGACATTGCCCTCACCCTGGGGCTCCACATGGCCCCAAAGGAAGGCAGCAACTTCAGCTCCCCGTGGGGCACAGGAAGTGCCATGCGGCCACCATGAACCCACTCCAGAGCCAGAAGCAAGGGAGGAAGCAGTGACAGATACCCAGGGGAGAACAATGCCTAGCGGCTGCGCCCAAAGTAAACAGGGCACAGGCACACCCCTAGGGGTCCCGGTGTGACCTCCGCTTGGAGCTGAACCGCTGGCTGGCAGAAGGAGGTATCCAGGGGGCTACACTGCCTGTGAGACACTCATCACCCCTTCTTTTCATTTTCAGTTTTTATTTTACGGGTCTACGCTTGCTGTGCTCGACACCCGCATTCCTCACGAGGAGCCCTGCGTGTGATCACGTGGCGCCCTGATTTATCATCTCCCTCCCCCCTTCCCCTCCATCCACATCTCGGTCCCCTCCCACCTGCACCAGATCTATCCCCTATTTCCTCCCATCTGTCTTTTATTTTCACTTTCATTTATTTACACTTTGGGCTTCTCATCTAAGAGAAACCAGGCACTACTTAATCCTGTGTTTCTGCTTCACTCAGCACTGTGGCCTCACGGGCATCCGCTTCCCTACAAATGCCTGGGGCATGTCCTTCTTTATGGAAGAGTAGTGCTCTATGGTGCAAATTGCTTGCCTCTGCTAGCCTGGTATACTGTTCATGGGACACACCCCTCTCTAGGCACCTATCTAGCCTGACATCTGATGGCTCCATCCTGTCTCTCAGCCCTGCTGGATGCGTGACCACACAGGACACAGCTGCAACATGTGACTACTGTGCCAAGCGAACTCACTGTTACTTCAGGGGCGTGCAACACTCTTCGGGCACACTGAGCACAGCCTCATGGGTCAGGCACTGCAGATGATGCAGCAATGCGATCCTTGGTGAAGCAGCCTTTCCCTGTGATGTGTCCTCTGCGTGAATTCTCAGGAAAGGGCCTGTCTGGCCCAAGGATATCTACCCTGCTGCTATGTCAGCAGCACACCTTTACTCTGCTGTTCAGTAAATCACCAAGACACCCACACTGGCTCTGCCAACAGCATAGGTGAGCCCCGCACAGGTGCCGACAGCACAGGTGGGCCCCCCACAGGTGCCGACAGCATTGATGAGCGCCTTCTGAAGCAGGGGGCTCCTGAGCCCAGCCCTCACACACCTTGGGGTGCAGAAGACCCCCTTGGAAGGTCTCCCAACTCGTGTTGGGAGAACCAGTTAGAGAGGACAGCGTCCTGGCCTCAAGCCAGACACTGTAGATCCGCCCTAGACTCCAGTGCAGCTCCCTATGTGGCAGGTGTCTGGTCCCTGCTGCTGCTGTGGGGCCCATGCTCACATCCCAGGAACCACAGCAACGAGGACGTGCCAGGTGCTTGTTGGGCCCTGCGCAGGGCACCAGAGGAGCTGCTTACTCCAGAGTCGGGCTCTGAGGCTGGGATCTGCTTTTGCCCAAAGTGGGACTTGAGCCCCTGCTGCTCACCAGGGCCCTCTTGGGGTAAGAGGCGGCACAGAGATCACTGCAAGGACACAGAGGACATATGCTCCGGACAGGGACATCAGTCACAGCACAGCAGGGTGTGTGACAAAAGCCACCAACTCTACATGTGTAGCTCCCCATGTGTGCAAGAGGGAGACATGCGTTGCCCCTACTCCATACAGAACAGTGCAAGAGGAGACTACTCGGGTGCCACACACATGAGGTTGTGTGGACTCGCCCTGTCTTCATCCCAGGCTCACAGGCTGACCCTCCAGCATCTTAGGAGAGAACCATGCCACGCGCCATGCTACTCTGCCTGCATCCTCAGCAGCCTCGTGGACGCGGTGTCCCACTGATGGGAAGCCACAGCTGCTGTGTACCCCACCCCACTCCCACTGACTCACGTTGGGAGAACCAATTAGAGAGGACAATGTCCTGGCCTCAAGCCAGACACTGGAGAACGCAGACCCTGGAGGCAGAACCTTGAGGACTGGGGCAGGCAACATCAAGCACAAGAGCTGGAGGAGGCTCTGGCTGTAAGCCTGCTGCCGCACCACCATAAGAGACTGCTTGGTGGAGGCCTTGGGTCTCTGGCAAACCTGGAGGGTCCTTGGACACAGGGCACAGCAGCCTTCAGATTCACCAGGCGACTTCCTGAGCCCACTGCTGCTCTTGATGCAGAAGGTTCAGAGCAGCAAACACAACTCCTTCCTGCCCCTCAGTGCTGCCCTGCCATGGCACAGCAGGCATAGACAGAACATAGAAGCCATGTTTCTCTTTGGAGCTGAATGAAGATGCCCAACAGATGGGGGGCAGCGACACCCCAAGCGGAGCAGCGGGCATTCAGAGGCTTTCTGTGCTCCACTACAGAGGTACAGACTACGTGGACCACTGAGAACAAGTGGGTACAGGGGCCAGCCTGGCCAGCCCATGGCTGATGAACAGTGCACCCTGTCCCCTGGTTTAGGGGTGACCCAGAAAGGCAGGATACAAGGTGACAGTGACCCTGCCCTCTGCCTTCTCTGGTACCCGCCCAAACACCTGAGCCTCCACTGCATGGCCATCCCTATAGCAGAGGAAACCTTGGCCAGGAAGACAGCAACTGCTCCTGGACTCCCCAACCACGCCTCCTTGCTGATATGAGAGATTCCATCAAAACATACAGTGAGCAAGTATGTTTTATAAAGAATTACTACAGTAGAAGGCACATTGTCATGAACTCTCTCCAAGTCCTCCCCTTGCTTCACACATATTCATCCCATTCTTCTGGCCACTTTCTGCAGCAGCTCCTCTTTCCTGAGAGTCTTTATGAGGTGTGATCAAAAACATGGTGAATGCTGATGCCAAGTGCTATCCAACAGAGGCACCTTGTAAAAACATGGTGCTGTGTCCTCGTCCACCTTATCCACCAGATCCGGCCCCACGTGACTTTCAGCTGTTCCTCCAAGTCAAAATGACCATGAAAGGGAAACATTTCGAACCAACTGAGGACTTCGAGGTGGCCAAGACAGCACAGCCAAACACACTCAGGAAAGAGGATCTATAGCTGCTGCAGAAAGTGATAGGGATGGCGGGATGAGTGCGCGGGAACTGAGGAAGACTTCGGGCGGATCTGTGGCAATGTGTCTTTTATCATAACAGGTTCAAAGGCCTATGAGGGCTTGGCGTAGTTTCTGGTTACACTTATACATTTTCTACAGTGCACTCTTTCATTTCCCAGCTTAAGCCTGGCCTTGGAGCCAGAGCCCAGGCAATCGGGTCCCAGCCAGGGCTGCTGCCCCGAGAGCACAAAGTGCCTGCCTCTGGAACCAAGGCAGGACGCACAGGAGGCAGCCCTGCACAGTGACCTGGCTGGGATGGTGCAGCCCCTGCCCTACCTGGGCCGCACCACCACTCCATGCTCACATGGCTGTGGGACCAACGGTCACCCCTTGTACCCCTCACAATGGCCTTGACTGGACACATGGGTATAGAGGTGGGAACGACCTCTGCCACCACTCACCTGTCCTGCAGTTGTGGAACTCCAACGCGCTCTCCATGCGGAAGGTCTTCCCACAGGTGCCGCAGCGATGCCGGTACTCGCCATCCACCTAGTCAGAGGGGCCATGTCAGCCAGCCGCCATGTGAGGGCCCAAAGTGCAGCTCTACTTGCCTCTGCCCTGTTTCCATTTAGGAGCAGGACCACTCTCTGCTGTCCACTGCCCAGAGGGCAGAAGCCACAAATGGACCCATGTTCCCACTGTGCCACTGGCCTGGTCAGCAGGCACAGGCCAGCAGGTGGGCGGCACCAGGTCACCCAGGACATGAAAACTCGGCTGCCTGAGAGCCGGCTGCCTTGTGCCCCTTCTCCAGGCTGGGTGGGCAGAGGATGTGGGCTCTGCTCACCCACCTCGTTCCTGCTGTGCTTGTAGGACACGTGCTGCTTCAGGCTCTCCTTGCGGCTGAACAGCTTCGCACACTCCTCACACTTGAACAACTTGTCACCTAGAGAGCAGAGCAGGGCTCACTACCTCAGAAAGTGCCTGACACATGGAGGTCCCATGCCCAGAGCCTGCAGCCCACCTGGCCCATGTCCCCCAACCCACTCACCATGCGAGCGCACATGGCGGCTGAGGTTGCTGCTGTTCTGGAAGACCTTGCTACACACCCCACACTGGTGCACACGCTTGTGCTCACCCAGCTGCCGGGCCAGCTTCCGCCGCAGGCCATGTCTGCTGGCCAGGACCAGGCCCCGCTTGAGGGCCAGCGTGCCACTCGTGTGGTGTGTGAACCTGGCCAACACATACATGGACAGAGGTTCAGAGACAGGCAGGACACGGGGACCCAACAGCAAAGGTCCCAGGTACCCGCTAAACACTGGCCAGCGGCCGCAAGCCTCTGCTTGAAGGAGGCAGGGTGGCTCATAGCAGATGCCCTGAGTGCTGAAGGCACTGGGTGGGCTCCAGGGACAGGCTCTGACACCTGACACAGGCACCACCAACTGGAATCACCGTTTTCCTCACATTCAGCCTCACTGGGCCCTGATGTTCTATACCAGCCTAACCCTCGCCTTGGTGTGATTCTTCTTGTTAGTGTGTTTTTGGTGATACACCCCCCAACCCCACCCCACAATCCCCCAGGGATTAAGACAGGGTGGGAACAAGCAGTGGGAGCACCATTTCTGATGTGCTTTGGTCTTAGTTTCTAGCGTCTGCCAGCACCAAAACAGTTTAAAAGTAAAATACCACCAGGACATTGGGCTGCAGAGCAGAATCTCAGCCAGGGACCATAGCAAAAGTATACATAGTTTCTTGTGTACAAACAGCAAAGGAAGCCAGGCATGGGAGAGCAAAGGGTTAAATTTACTGAAAATAAAACAAAATGGTTGAAGTGTGCCTAATGGGCAAAGGCAGGAGTGGCCGGGCCCAGCAGTAGGTGATGGGGACATAAATGGAGTCACTTGGTGAAGCTGACCACAGCGACAGACCCTGGGAGCACGTGACACTCCATGAGGCCACAAGTCTGCCAAATACCAGTCATAGCAATCAAACTGGTTTTAGGTGTGGGTCTCCAAAGCTGAAGAGCTAGTCCAGGTGCACTGCAGATGGAGCCCCAGACCACCTTGACGGGTGTGATGCTGCCTCACGAGAAGGCCCATCTGCACCCTTGAGGACGCCAGGGGCCGCTTGACTTACTTAGGCACCGAGCTGACGGTGTCAGGGGGCGTGGCCAGCTTCCCCAGAACCAGCTCCATGATCCGCTCATCTGGCGCTGTGCCCGCCGGCTCATCTGGTGGGACCTCGGTGATGATCTCGGCCACTTGTTCTGTGCAAAGGGCATGTGACAAGCAGGGCTGTCACCAGGGCAGCGGCAGGCATGGCAAACCCAGGGTGTGTGCAGTCCCACAGACCAATGCCAAGCCACATGGTGGACATGACAGGCTAAGGTTACACTCAGGAAACGAAGCCAGCAACAAGTGCAATGTAAGTTCTTTAAGCAGTGGGCATGATGGTGCACACCTGTAATGCCAGCCCTCGGGGAGGCCAAGGCAGGATTTCAGCTCTAGTCCATCCTTGTCATCTTAGCTACTTAGAAAGACTCTGTCTTCAAATAACAAATGAAAAGGGCTGGGATATAGCTCAGTGAAAGGCCCTGGGTTCAATCCCCAGTACTGTACCACCAAACAAAAAAGGCTCGTCCTCAACCAAATGGAAGTTCTAATTTGCAATTTTTTTTAAAAAGACACAACATCAGAGTACTTCAGTCTGTCTTCATATTGAGCCAAACAGCTTGAATGTACAGCAGGACCTTCTAACTGGTGAAGTGAGTTCTGGCAGAATTGGAGCTACTAAGGTTTATAATTAGATACGCCATCCTTCGGATGTTTGAAAAGTGCCCAAGAGTCAAATATCAAATAATCCTCATAGTAAGTTAGAGACAGGACCAGGGAAGGTTGCCCAAAAAGGTTAATGTGCTGGTCTACAGTGCTTTAATTGCTGAGTGTCCTCAACACAGGACAGCAGCACATGACTGTCCCCTCTCCTCCCCTCCCCTCTGCTTGCCTATCCTGGGCCTCAAACCACTTTCTTTCCATTCCAATCCAAAGGGGGGACACTGCAGACCCCAGGAGCAGAGGGGAAGCCACCAACACTGCATACAGGTCCCGCCTCAGAATATAAGTCCCATGGTTTTCTTCCCATTTTCACTAATGAAAGCCCCGGAATGTCCCCAACAGTTAAATAAAAGGCACTCAGGACCAGTAAGGTAGCAGGCAGGAGGTTTTGGAAGTGGGCATTCCACTGACTGCACATGCAGCATGTACTAGAGGTGGCCACAGACCCCACACCCAACTGAGGATGTGCACCTTCCAAGGACAGTGGGCTACGGTGTGTGTGTGTGTGTGTGTGTGTGTGTGTGTGTGTGTGTGTGTGTATGGCCAGCTCAGCCTGTCCTGGGGGAGGGACTGGCATGGCATGTGGTCCTGGGGTTTGAACTTCAGTCCCTGCCCATTTGCCTAATCAGGTGCTTTAAACTGCTGAGCTATCTCACTGACCCCAGATTCTCTTTGATAGGGGCAGGTGGACCAATACCAGGTGTGCAGGCAAGGGACCAAACACTGGCAGTTCATGGAAGGAGCTGGCACCATACCATGCACGAGGACCCTGCTGGGGTGGGCTCCTCTCTGCCAGGGATGAGCAGGGCAGCTGGGGGGAGGCGTCTCCCCCAGGGGCGCAGTGCACGGGCTGTCCCTGTCTAACATCCCAGTCAGCACCAGCTTCGTGTGATCCCTGCACTTTAACGAGACGACCAGGAAGTGAACCTGGAGGCCACTACCATGTGGTCTCATGGCAGGCAGAGAGGTGACCTATGTGAGCCCACGCCCAGGAGGCCGTGCCCCCAGAGCCCAGCATGCGTCAGCCGCTCACCTGTGGGCTCCTTGTCCTCCACGATGACCAGAGGCTGCTGGGACTTGGACGCTTTGGGCTTCCGCCCACGTCGAGGCTTCTTCTTCTGCTCCTTGGGGGGGCCAGTGCTCTCGGGGGCTGCAGGGGGCTCCCCACGGGGTGCGCTGGGCTCCTTGTCGGGCACCGCTGCTGCCTCCGGCTGGCTGCCTGGGGGGAGCCCCTTGCCGTGTTCTAGGTGGCCCAGGAGGTGCTCTGCAAGGACAGCATGGCTGACAGCACCGCTGGGGACAGCAGCCCCTGCCCTACCTCCTTCCTGCCCCCACAGCGCTTTCTACTCTGCACACTAAGCACGAAGCATGTTCCTTCTCTCTCTCTTTGAAGGAACTCGTTGGGACCCAGGGCTTTGCCCTCGGCCACACGGCCAGCTGTTTTAAATTTTTCCTTTTTTTAAATTCTCAGCCTGAGTTTTACTCAACTGCTAAGATGCCCAGCCTAGACGCCAGAGCGCTGGGGTTATAGGTAACCGTGCCCTTTGTCTAGATATATGAGTTTTAACTCCAGTGTGTCTGAAACTAAAAACACTTCCACTACACCAAATACAACTATGGGTCAAGTATCCCTTACCCTCAATGCCTGGGACTAAAAGTATTTCTGATCTTGGAGCAGTCTGGACTTGGGGTTTTAGAATTTCACAGCATTTCAGATTTTGGATTAGCACAAGGGATGCTCAGCTTTATTTTTTATTTTTTAATTAAGTGGTGGAGCAAGGATAAATACACAAGGCAGTTTTTTTTTAAAGCATATGTCTATCTCCATAGGAAAAGAATTGGAAGCACATATTGAAACACTAGTTTTTTCTGTACATGATGAAAGTATAGTTTTCTTTCTTTTTTTGAGATGGTGAGGATGTTTGTTTGGGTCTTACTATGTAGTTTAGGCTGGACTTGAACTCATGGGACCCTCCTTCCTCAGCTTCCTGAGCAATGGGATTATGTAATATTACATGTCTGGCAAGACTGTTTTATTTCTTTTTTTGAGACAGGTCTTGCTGTGTAGTTCAGGCTGGTTTTGAACTCTCTATAGCCCAGGCTGGCCTTGAACTTGAAGCAATTCTCCTGTCTCAGCTTCCCAAGTGCTGGGATTACAAGTGTGCACCACTAGGCCTGTTCTATTTTTACTTCTTAAGATGGGCTCTTGCTAAGTCACTCAGTTGCTCTGCATGGTAAGGCTATCTTCAAAAAGCACAAGGCAGTTTTTACCTGCCTGAAGTCATACACCTTCTTCTGAGTTCAGTTAAATCCCAGTTGAAGCACTGGTTTGGTCTGGAAGATGGCCAACCCCAAAGAGGGTAAACCTGGCACACTGGACCCCGAAACTCCACAGTAAAGCTTTCCTGCCCCAGGCGAGCCCTCAGACACAGTGCTCTGGCAGACAGCAGCAGGCAAGTATGATACAGGCTGAGAGTCACACCAGGGAGCCCCACCTCCTTCCAGAGCGTGCGGTGCCAGTATGACCCAAGGAGGACCCACTCGCACCAGACATGCCCTGGACCTGGAGCACATGGGCCCTCTGTCCCCATGTTCTGGCCTCTATGCTCCTCTCCACTTGTCTGGTGCAGACCCCAAATTCCTCAGCCACTGGGTAACCAAAAAAACACCTTGAGGGGCTGCAAGCAGAGGGTAAACAGAAAGAAAGTGCCCCTCAGGCACTGGGGTTGGGCATGGGGGGGCGGGGGGGTCAGCAGAGGCTGCAGTGCAGCTGGGACCATGCCTGATGGGCACCAGCTGCTCCCCGAGCTGCTGCACAGGCAGGTGGGCTATTTGCCTTTTGCGGTCTTAGCCTGCTCTATCCTGAAATGTGGGGTGGGGAGATCAGACGTCAGCCTCAGCAAGGGCTTGGAGCAGGAGGGTTGGGCCCAGTGCCATGCAGATAATGGCCCGGCCACACAGGGCCACTGTGTGCCACCTTCGGTCACTGGCACCATTCAGCCAGAGTGAAAGGTTTTATTTCTTCATTCAAAACCAGTCACCAGGACCAGGGAGATAGCTCAGCAGTCGAAAGCACCTGCTTAGCAAGCTTAGGCAGCCACAGCAGACCATGGTTTGATCCCCGGCACCACATGCCACCCACCCTCAGGGCGGGCTGAGCCAACAACAACAACAAAAAAAAAAAAACCAAAAACATCAGTCACCAGACAGGCATGGTGGCACATGCCTGTAATCCCAGCACTTGGGAGGTTGAGGCAGGAGAACTGGCATATGTTTGAAGGCTACATTGTGAGTTCAAGGGCAGGCATAGACTGCACAGCAAGACACTGTCTCCAAAGTCGAACAAGACAAAAACAAAAAGCCAGTCACCAAGGAAAATTGCAAACAAGAAACGTCTTTTTTGCTTGTGGGCGATGTCCCTTTACTCTGTGGTCCCACAGCTAGACTTTATCCACCTCAAGATGGGGTGCGCTTCGCAAACAGGGCTTAGACAACCCTGCAGCCACCTCACCATTTCTGTCTTGACAACAGATAGAAGCGCAGGCCCCTGGCTTGGTGCGCGCGTGATCGCAGTTCACTGCACTGCCATGCAATTTCTCCAGTTATGTAGCTTTACCCCACGTGGGCCCCAGAAGAGCTATGTGCCTGGTGTGAGTCCTGAGAGAACACTCAGAAAGTCCTTAGGGCTTGGCACAACTCGGGGTACCTTGGACTCTTTCTGTGCCACCTTGGAGGGACAGCAGCCTGGGCAGACAGAGGAACATGGGACAGGGACAGGCAGGAGGCAGAAAAGGCAAGGCTCATGGTGGCTCTAGCGGCCTTGGTACCTGCCTGTCCTCTGTGTGCCCTTGAGCCTGGCCACAGGCAGCTAGCTGTAGCCAGGACCATGGGAGGGAGAGCAGCCCGTGGCAGGATGGACCTGGGGACAGGTCAATCGATACCAGCAGTGCCACGGTCCACAGGGAACCCCTAGGCAGTACCACCCCTGACCCCCGCCTTACCATTGAGCAGCTGCAGCTCCAGGAAGGAGCTGGCACACACCTTGCAGGCCCACGGGCCACGCTCAGCCTCCGCAGGGGTGCTCAGTTCTGGGGCACCTGCAGCTGCGGGAGACGAGAAAAACGGCTGGTGACCTGTGGAGCCCCACACCATGGGGATGTGACTGTGACAGGGGCAGCAACAGCTAACACTGCCGGGACACTGCTCCCACTCGTCCCCAGGAGAGGAAGCCGAGCAGAACGGAGGAGTCTCAGCCGCTGGCTCCCCTGTGCCTGGGAGGCCACTGAGAGTCATTACCATTTTCATATCCTGCAGTGACCCCAGGTTAGGTCACCAGGAGCAGCCAGCCTAGGACAGTGGGTCAAGTGCTCAACAGGTAGAAAAGACAGAGCTCCAACCAACCAGTGAACACCTCCATGATTGCACTCCTACGGAGGCTGCACGCAGTGTAGACTTGATGGGATCCACCCAGTGACCAGTGAGCACAATTCTGGCTGTGTCTGGGTGACCACAGAAGTGACCTTGGGGGTCTATGTGTAGCTCCTTCCTCTCTGAGCCTGTTCCCCTGCTCTGCCTCCCAACAGCTGTGAGCCAAGCAGCTTTGGTGCCACGCCCTTCTGCCAGGAAGTCCCTGCCCAGCAAGCCAAAAACCAAGTCTCCAGAAACCATGAGCCACCTGAAACCCTTCCTCTTTTATGTTACAGATCACGTCCCAGCAACAGGATAGCTGACTAGTACAACTAAACTCTCCAAGGAAGAGCTGCTCATTATCTGTCCCCAACAGAAAGACCATGAAGGCAATTCTAAAGCCTTCCATTGTTTACTTACTTCCCCAATTGAAGCACTCCTTCAGGCCTAGGCTGCCTGTGACCACGTCTTCCCACCTGTGGTCACTGGAGGTGCCCTTCCACGCCCCAGGGTGTGGGGCCTCCTATATCAGGGCCACCTAGCTGCGTGACAGTCACTGGAGCCCATCCACTACACAGTTGCCAATCAGAGGCCTCCCCAGTAGGCACAGTGCAGACTGGGCAGCTGGAACTCAGGTAAGGTATAGCACCCTTTGCCTTGACCTTAGCTTTAACCTTGAGTCATGCTGACAAGGAGTAGATCCCCAGGGACAATCTAGTAACCCGACCTCTAGGGGATGGCACCTGTGGGTCACAGCTCTCAGTCTCTGGGAGTTCCATCCAGGTCACAGCTTCCTGTATGTCATTTGGGGAATCTGGCCTCAGAAGTGGCCCAGAGCTGGCGGTACTGCCACACAGGGCCCAAAGCTAGGCAGGGAGCAGAGGGTGAAAAGCAGCTGTTCTCACTGCATCCTTCCTGTCCCCTTCTGTCAACATGAAGGGCCACCCCAGAAGCTCATATCGAGTTCCTCCCCCACCTGAAAGAGTCGGGCTGCAGCCTAAACAGAGAACAGTGACACAGCCACACACGAGGCAGGGACAGTGAGGAGAGCCAACCACAATCATGGCAGAGGGGGCCCGAGACAGACCCTCTCTGACCTCCAGGAGGTACCAGTCCTGTGACACTGCAAACTTGGACATTGGGCTCCAGCGCAGTGAGGGATGCTTCTGCGGCTAAGTACAGTGCTTTGTCGGGATGGCCTGGCACACCTGCATGGCCCAGCATGGCTCCCAGCACACTGCGGTGCCCGCCTGCCTTCAGGGGACACAGCTGCATCCCAGACTCCACGGTACAGCTGACACGGGTGGGCCAGAAACTTACAAGGCCACCACGTCTCCTCTCTGGAGCCACTTGTTGTCTGTCACATGGCGCTTGTGACGAAAGGCAACTATTTTCCTGGGGGACTCACTTCCTGAGGGGAGGGGCCAGTGTCCACTGTCAGGTCAGAAGTTCTCTCCATGGCACAGGAAGCAGTGTTTGCTTCCTGTGCAGGAGCAGGTGGAGTCATCCAAGTACTGATTCAAGGTCAGAGCGTCACACAGCACCCATTTCTCATGGCTTCTTGATGCTAGGTGAAGAGGGGCCATGTTCAAAAGACCCCAATGTGGGCAAGATGGCTTAAAACCTAATGGCACTCCACAGACAGGGTGATGTCCCATGCCGGGTTACCAGGACGACAGATACGTCCAACAAAAAGTTGTAGTTGGAGATCAGGTGATGTAAGCAAGTCTTGTGTTGACTACACACACAAACACATGAAACTACGGATATGGACACACACACACACACACCCCTAGGTACACATGCACACCTGCGCGGGTGCACAGAGACGCTTCTCAGACAGCAAGCTGCACCCAAATTCCCCTGTACACAGCAGGGAGGTGGCCTTCTCTCTAGCCAGACTCCAGAAAAAAACCGACCCACGCAGTAAGGAGCCCCCAACTCCATGCCACCCCTGCACACCCATCCCAGGGACTCTACCGTGGCCGCTGGAGCTGGTCTGCTTCAGCATGGGCTTGTCCATCTTCTTGGCATAGAAGGCTGCATACCACACACGCAACTCGGTGCCAGGTGGGATGTCGCACGAGGTGGTGAAGTACACATCGCTGCCCTGCTGGAAGGCTGTGAGGTTCTGGTGCGCAGGCTCAGCCGCCGGCCTCACCAGCATCATCCAGTTGCAGTCGTCCTCATTGGAGGTGTCAAAGCACACGGGGTGCCCATCCTTCTGGAACACCTGCAGGACCCAGCAGAGCTGTGGTTGCCTGCCAGCTGAGGCCACATGGCCTCCCATAGGCTGGGCTGGGTTCCTGGCAGTGAGGAGGGTCACACAGAGAACACAGGAAGAGAAGGCAGGCACTGTGGAAGGTCACTGTGCCACGGGTCTCCTGGGACCCAGATGTGACCTGGGGGTGTGGGTGCTGGGGGCTGGGACCTGAGCTTTGCACCCAGGCCAGGGGCCACCTGACTCCTGACCGTAAGCAGTCTTGCTCTTGTGCCTTGTTTTCTACTTCTGTCAACAGTCATGTGCCTTTCTTTTCCCCTATTTGGCTGAAATGTGTCTGTATGGATGCTCAGTTTTCAGTGTTTGCCCTGAACCTAGCTTTTGTTTTCATTTTTGTTCTTGCTTTTGGAGGCAGGGTCTCACTATATAGCCCAAGCTGGCCTTGAACTCACAGTGATCTTCCTGCTCTAGTTTACCAAGTACTAGGATCACAAGTGCAGGCCACCATGCTCACCTGGGTACAGTGGCAAGGCTTTGGACTCTCTCCCAGTATCTCTGGAGAAGCTGTGCAGGGTGCAGATCGTGTGCACAGATGCCAGGATGCCTGCAACCCCACTGAAGCCGAGGTCGAGGTGGGACCCAGGACACACCAGGCTCCCCTTGGTGTCTCCAGCCCATGTGTCAGTGACCTCTGAGCAGTGTCATGAGCTGTCATAGGCCACACACCCATCTCCCCCCCCCCCCCAGGTAGCACCATTACCTTCAATGGAAATGCGGACTCCTTCTCCCACTTGGCAACCCTTCTGGACTCGAATGGGCCAAACTGTGTGCGCCTGACCAGCTGGGTGACAGCAAACACACCCTCTGCCCCATCCTCCAAGCGCCGGATCTCCAGGTTGGTTGGCAAGGAGGACCTGGGAGCCAAGGTCAGGACTTAGAGAGGCCCCACCTGCCACCTGCTTGGCACAGTCTCATGCCAACTCTACGCAGGAGCTTCTGGAGAGTCCTCCAGGAAGGAAGGCCATTCCAACTCAGTTGAAGTATGGTCATTTGCACAATGTCCTCAGTGCCACAGAGCCTCCCCAGGCTGGGTAAGTTATGCCAGGGCCCGTGCCACGGCAGTGATTTCCGAAGACCTATGAATTCCAGGTATGGGTGCTATAGGTAAGAACTTGGGCACACAGCATCTCAAGTAAAGGAGAACAGGATGGTGAGAGCTGACAGGAAAGAGCTCCTGGCTAAGCTGAGGCAAGCTGGACTGCCTTGTCAACTAGACCAGGTCATGGGCAGGATGATTCAGGAAGAAATGGGGCACAGGACAAGGCAGGGGCCAGCCAGGACAAGTCCAGAAGTGAGGGAAACACAAGGTTCAGGACATAGGCCCCGAGATGGAGAAGCCCATCAGAGGGCCCAGTTGTGCAAGCAATGGTTTCCATGGTTTCCCAGGCAGCAGGAGCCCCTGGAAGTCTGCAGAAGGGAGCTGAGCTCTCTGCTTTAGGCAAGAATGTTACAGTCATTGTTTCACAGAGAATGAGTCCCCATGAGCCAAAATAAACAAACCAGGTGGGACAGCCTGAGAGGTCACATTAGCACCAGCACAGTGACACCATGTGGGGAGGGGCAACATGACTTCCCCACATCACTGAGCCCCCTGAGGCCTAGAGCCACTGTGTGGCAGCCTTGGCTGGACCAGGCATCCTCATCCACAATCTGCAATGGCTCAGAGGTCCTGCCCAGCCCACCTAGCCTTGGTGAAGGCCTGAGTCAGAACACAAAAGAAACAATGGGAGCTCGGCTATCACACTCATGTGGCCCAGCCAGAGCCAGCCCAGCTCCCAAGACCCCAACCTCTAGGAGGGATAGCACCCAACTCTGAACTCCTCACAGCTGATCCTATAGGAAGACCTAGCTCCCCAACGGTGAAAAACTACTCACATTCTTCACGATCCTCGCACCTTGTGCCCCTGGGACGGTCACTCACCTCGCCCTGCTTAGCACAAAGGAGTCCTTGACCATGACCACAGGGCCCAGCTCAGGACACTCAGAGTCGTGGTACTGGCTACAGTCTTCACACCCTGCAAGCAGATGTCAGTGTTAGAGGGGACTGAGTCCAGGGAGGGCACACCCAGAGAATACACACCTGGAACCAGGCTCTGCCAGGCAGAGGTGACCCAAAGGTGAGGTCCACACATGCAAGGACACACCCAGAAGAGTGAGGCCTGTATCACAAAGTCCCCCTGGACTGTTCCTGCAAAGACTCCATGGCACTTTGCACACCCATGGTTACCTTCATGGTGGTGATGACCAGTGTCCCCGAAGGACAGGAATCATTAGCAGTCACCTTATACCTTAAACCTGTTTATTCTAAAGCGGGTATTCCTCAAAGTTTTTAAACCTCAGGTGGATTTTCTGAATGAAGGGCCACCTCTATGATGTGCCCTCCTCCACACTCTCCAGGAGAGGCCCTCTGCTCAGACCACGCCCTGCAGCACCCAGCTCATGGACTCAGTCACAGCTGTTAAGACAAGGGAAGCCACGCCCATCATAGAGAAACAGCTTTCGGTGTTATGAAGACAAAATGTGGGCATGGCTTTGCCAGACAGCAAGTGCAGAGCCCAATCTGCATTCTGCAACAGCAAGGGCCCCAGGTGGGCCCAGGGTCACTCACAGATGAACATGATCTCTTCGCTGCCCTCTTCGGCCATCGCTGACACCTGCCAAACACAAGAGAGTCAGCAATGAGCTTTTACCAAGGCAGTGTGTGTAAGTGTGTGTGTGTGTGTGTGTGTGTGTGTGTGTGTGTGTGTGTGTATGTGAGACAGCATCTGGCCAGAGCTCAAGCTGACCTCACAGCCCTTCTGCCTCAGCCTCCCAGAGTGCTGGGAGTACAGGCTGCACGACCACATACAACTATGAACTTCAGTTTTAAAGACCATCTCCACCAAGGACTCTTCTGGCCTGTGCAGTGACATTACTCTGCCCTTTCAAGGAACAGTGGGGACTCCTGATCTAGGTCGTTTGAAATATTTTCTCCCGTACAATAACTCTGCATATATATATGCCGGAGGCAACATAAACGCCTGCCTGGCAGGTACAAGGTCCTGAGTTTGATCCCAGGTCAGAGAGAGAGAGAGAGAGAGAGAGAGAGAGAGAGAGAGAGAGAGAGAGACACTTAGGGCCTGTGAGATAGCTCAGGCAAGCACAGGGACGGGGTTCAATCCCCAGTACCACATGATGCACTGGCCCTGCCCCGGGGCATGCTGAGCCGGCCACGGAGACCTAGCATGGTGGCACACAGTCCGGGTATGGTGGCGCACACCTGTAATCCCAGTGCTGAGGAGGCTAAAAACGGGAGGATCACTATGAGTCTCAACTGCATAGTAAGACCCTATACCAAATACATTAAAAAAATATGTAGTATATATAACATATACTACATATTATATATAACATAGTATATGATATATGATATATAGTATATACATTGCAGTTCTGACTGGCCTTGAACTCACAGCAATCCTACTGCTTCAGCCTTTCAAGTGCTACGATTATAGGTGTGCAAAACCACTCCTGGCTTACAGACACCATTTTTGTAAAAGATAAAAAATAAATAATAATAACAATAAAACAGAGCTTTGAAACAGGTTAGGAAAATTACAATAATTAATACATTATGTATTGTTAGCTTCATCACAGTTATTCAGAGTATAAGATACATGTATATCTTGTCCAAACAATATCAGTACAAACCTTTCTTTTTCATGAACTAAGAGAAACAAGCTGTATAACTGTCTTAACCATCTTGTGTATATTTTTTTCTTTTCCTCTTTCTTCCTTTTCCTTTTCCCCCATTATAGTTTATCTTTTCTTTTGAACTATTTCTTCCCAATCCACAATATCTATTGTACATTCTGGATCTTATTTCCTCATTCAGTTTCTCATAGTAATGGGATAATACAATGTTTACATATATGGGTCTGATTTATTTCACTTACAAGTATAGTTTCAAGTTGTATTCATTTATCTATAAAAAGTCTCCCATTTATCCTTCTTTATGGCTGAGTAGTATACCATTATACAGAAAAACAAGTATTTTTAATCTGTTCCTCACCCACAGATTGAAAAAATAATCCACAGGGTGGGAAAAATTTATAGCCAGTTTTCTCTCAAACAAAAGACTTATATCTAGAATATATAAAGAATTGAAAAAATTCAGACACTCCCAAATTCAAAGACCCAATCCAAAAATGGGCACCTGAAAAACAAACAAACAAACAAACAAACAAAACAAAACAATGGGCACCTGAGATGAAGAAATACAAATGGCAAATAAATACATGAAAAAATGTTCAACATCACCGGTCATTTAAGAGATACAAATTAAAACAACACTGAGATTCCATCTCACCCCAGAAAAAATAGCTATTATCAAGAAATCAACCAATAACAAATGCTGGTGAGGCTGTGGGGAAAAAGAAACCCTCCTCTACTGTTGACAGGAGTGTAGACTGGTGCAACCACTATGGAAATCAATGTGGAGATTTCTCATAAAAACTAGGATTAGAGGTCCCATTCAACCCAGCTATTTCCCTTCTCAGTATCTTCCCAGAATAATTAAAAACATTATATCATAGGTATATATGTGTACCCACTTTACAGCAGCAAAATTTGTAATAGCTAAATCTTGGAGATACCACTTTATAAGAGCCAGGTTTTATCCTCAGGCCCCACCCCCTGGGCCAGGAATTCTTAGGGGCATCCACATCCAAGGAAGGCAACCCCTGCTTTCTTCAGCTCCTAGCCCTGTGCCCAACATCCCATAAGCACTCACTCCTAAGGAATAAACAAATATGATGTATCTCTTACTCTTACATAACATCTGCTCATGTCTATTTCCTATCTGTCCTTAAGGTTGATAGGTCCCAGACCCAGTATGAGCTGTCTCAGGACAAAGGATCCTCCCATCTCCCTGCCATCCATGCTCTCCATGTCTCCGCTCAATGGCAAAAAGGCCTTTTCCAGCCTTTTCTTTCACTTCTGCTTAACTGCTACTGAAAAACCTAATATTTTGGTGCCGTGACTTGGATCAGTGAGCTGTGTAGCTCCCAAAGGGAGGGGGTGCCATCCCTCCCCTGGTTTTTGGGCTCCCTCACCAGTGAGCCACTCCTGCTCTTCCTGGCAACTGCCATTGTTAGCCTGCATCCAACACTGGCCCACCCCAACTCATTAGTGAGCCTTTTCTCAGTTTTGTGGTTTCCTGTCTCAGTTATAGAAAAAGTTATCCTCATGTTCCTTGGGCAGGGCTATTGCCCTCATGCCCCAAGGCAGAACAGTTACTTTCTTATCTTTAGAGACCCCTTCCTGTTTCCAGTAACCACTGAGAAAGCAGATGTGGGATTTATTCTCTCATATTTCATATGCGTAGGAGTAGGTGATGATCTCGCCTGGGGTGTAAAACTCTTGGCGCCTCAAATTTGGTCACCATTTCCCTCACACCTCAAGACAGGGCAGTTCTTGGAAAGCTGTCCTCATTTTCCATGGGCAGTGCTGCCTCTGAGAGGCCTTAAGACAAAAAGTTAATCTTTTACTGCCAGATGGCTTGGCCACAACACAACAATGAACAATGGCAGCCTATGGCCAGAGGGGAAAACCTTTAACCCCTTAAAACTTCTGTTATCTCAAGGGCAAATGGCCAGAAAGCCTTCATTGTTCCATAGGACATGCCCACCCCTTACCACTGGACCCTCCTCAGGATGCTTCTCCTCAACCTGTCCAGCCTTCTCACTCATCTCAAACCTGCAGTCACTTTACCTTATGAGGCTCTCAACTCTGCTCTCTCCTCTGCTCAACTAATTCAGCCTTAAGGCAGTCTTAGTCTCTTAAAAAGTCTCTTCCTCCACTTATCTGCTGCAGCTGTAAAGCTAGAGAACTCTACAGGAATAAGTCTGTCTCAGTTGATAGAAGTTATTCAGAAACTGATTCATGGAAGCTAATAAAAAGAGATTAAACCCCACATTCAAAGACTGCCCTTCTTGCTAGTCCTCAAGTCCTGGACTTGTCAGTTGTCAGTTCTTCCCTACCATCTGTTCCTAATCCTTATGCTCTTACAATGTATTAGACTAGATAGATAGATAGATAGATAGATAGATAGATAGATAGATAGATAGGTAGATAGATAGATAGATAGATAGATATGGTTTTTACATTTTTAAAATTGACTACAGAAGTTTTTTAAAAATAATTTTATTGAAAAGCAAATAGCAATGAGACAGTTTCATAATCGATTACTAGCACATTTTCAATAATTAATACATTGCATATTGTTGTCTTAGTGGTTATTCATTGTACAAGATGCAGACATGATGTCATGTCTCAAACACTATTAGTACAAACCTCTCTATTCATTGAATTAAGAGAATGGAGCTGTATATCTATCCTAACTATTTTGGGTGTACCGATACAACATGGTCGTTTATTTCTATCCCACTTTTTTGGTTATGACTACAGAAGTTTTGACTAGTCTTTTATAATTACAAACTTTAAAAAGATTATTATAATTTAATTTGGCCAGAAATATATTTGAGTGCACTCTGATTTTCTAAAGATGTTCATGTGTGTTCTGTGTATGTGTTTTTAAGTGTTTGTAAATCATTTTATGATCCTCTTTTATTTCAGCTTTACAAGATAGACTTAAAAACTTGCTTTCTACTAAGTTACCAGCTGGCCTAAGTGGTATCAAAATTGGTTTACTCACAGGTCATCAAAAATTTTTAAGTTAATTAATCATTAAAGTAAGGAGACAGGACTTCAGTTGATGGATGGAGGGGTAGCCAAGTTTTGTCCATTATGGGGAGTACCAATAATCTCCATAGTCTCATAGAAGACACCCTCAATAATTTGGTCATTTGTTAAAAGACAGTTTTTTCAGAAAAAAATTAAAATGAGGTGTTCTCATAAAAGATACTTGATATAAAACAATGACAATTTGTTAAATGTATTCATGTCTTCCAAATGTACAGTATTCTACAATATAAAACTGATAATATTTTCATTCAGATTTGAACATATGCCTTTCTCTTATGCTCCAGATATTTTTAATAAGTTCATGTCAAGACAACATGAGGTCATCAGTCAAATGATAATTTTCTCACAAAAACTTATGTGATATGTACACTGTATGTGCCATTACATTTAGAGGTACTTTGCTCAAATAGAGATTTCATCATGACTGTTATGCTACACTACTTGTATGACTACTGACATCAAATTTTTTCCGTAAAACTACATAACTGTTGTTGTTAACATTCTACAGGTATATAACTACTAGAGTATCCATGGTTGGTAAGCAATACCAGTTCTCTGGCTACACTCTTACATTTCAAGGAGCTTAATAATACTCAGATAAAATTTTATTGAGTGTATTGTTTCCAACTAAGTGCACTAATGTAGACCCAGATTCTCCTATAGGAACAATTGTTATTAATTCCTATTTTATATCCCGATCTGTTCTTGACATTCGTGCAAAGCTTAAAAAGACAGATCTTAGCCCTGAAACTCCACAGGAAAAATTATTTAATCTGGCTTTCCATGTCTTCAATAATGGAGACAAAAATAAACTGTACACACATACCAGCTGTTGGCTGTGGCACTCAGGGCTCCCATCAAAGCAGGATCTAAGCAAAGTGATGCTAAGTCTAAACAAAATGCCATCACC